TCTTTGTTTTTTGTTGTTTAGTTTAGTATTAGATTAGTTTTGTTAAGAAGGGTTCTTAAGTGTAGTATTAGCCTAGTGGTAGCTTATGTAGTAGTTATGTTTTAATTACAGCACGTTTGGTTCACGAAATGAATTTCGGGGTAAGAGGAATGCTATTCCATAAGGAATGGAATAGACAAGGAATAGAATAGGAATTATATTCTATTGTTTGGTTCGCGGAAGGAATAGACTTTAGGAATTATATTACAGTGTTTGGTTGGTTTAAGGAATAGAAATGAAATATGTTTTAAAAGACATAAATACCCTTATAGAGATATGTGGTGGTGGTGGCGTTGGTGGTGGCAGTGGTGGGGAAGTGGTGCTGGTGGTGGTAGCGGCGGCGGTGGTGGCAGTGGTGGGGTGGTGGTGGTGGTGGGGTAGTGGTGCTGCAGGTGGTGGCGGTGGCGGCGGCGGTAGTGGCGGAGGTAGTGGCGGCGGCGGTGATGATGGTGGTAGTGGTGGGGTGGTGGTGGTGGCGGTGGTGGCTGCGACGGTGATGAAATAGGAAATAAATTTAATTACGGGTAAAATAGGAAATATATAAGAGTGTGTGTGTGTGTGTGTGTGTGTGTGTGTATGTGTGTGTGTGTGTATATATATATATATATATATATATATATATATATATATATATATATATATATATATATATATATATATATGTAAGGGTATTTTTGGCATTTGTAATATAAAAGCTATTCCCATAAGCATGGGAATAGCTAATACCAAGGCCCCCCCTAGGAATGGCTATTCCCCTTGCAAAGGGAATAGATCATTCCTCGGAATAGTATTCCCATGACAAAGTGACGAACCAAACAATGGAATAGGGTTATTCCAAGGAATGTCATTCCATTCCTAACCTATTCCATGAACCAAACATGCCATTAGCAAGTTTCACCTTAAGTTTGGTTAATTAGCTTAGTTAGTTTGTTGTTAGATTAAGTTAATAGTTGGGTGTTTAGCTTGGTGGTAAGGCATGTGGTTAAACTTGTGGGTGGCTAAGATTCGAATCCTACATAGCTTATATTAGATGAATTATTAGTTTTACCTTAACCTTATATTATGAGCCCGTGGTGATTAGTTTGCTTGGCTTAGTTGGTTGAGCTTGTGGATAATTAAGGAAAGATTTAGGGTTTAATTCCCTTTGTAAGCCTAATTAGTTTTAATTAGTACTTGTGTTAATAGTTGAGATCCGGTTTAATTCTCAGGTTCCCGTTTGGCTTATGAGTTGAGCCTAGCCTATGTTGGCGTTGTTTTTGGATGTTAAGCGAATGAGGTAACCCATGCTCTACAAAATCTATTTTGCTTACCTATATGTGATTTCTTGGATTCTACACGTGATTTTGCTATGAAATGTGAGTGTTTATGCATTGTCTTGTGAAAATGCATATCAAGAGCTTGTGTTTAGGTTTTCATTTGTGCCATTGCTTGGAATTTCCTTTGATTCAAGTCATTTTGTTGTATTGGGTGAGATTAGGCATGTTTTGAACTTGAATTTGAGCATGGAGTTGAAAATCCCCGAAGGGATTATTTTGTGGTACAGGGTTGTACCCGCGGGCAGAACGGCGGGTAAGGGTCCAACCGGCCACCCACCCGCGGGGTACACAAGAAGGGCAGCCTGTACCCGCGGGCGGAACCGCAGGTAGAGGCCTACCCGTGGGCTTACTCGCGGGTACGTATTGTGGTGATGACGGAGATTTGTTCCCCGTGATTCTTTTGACTTCCCGATGTTCTTTTGTGGAACTATTTGAGTGTCTTCTTGATGTTTCGTATGTCTAGAACTATATGGTAGGTATCCATGTAGGTATTTGGTGTCTTGAATCGTGCTAACTGTTCAACATTGTGTTTCGTTGAACTGTGATGAGTCTTGTGTGTTCTCCGGAACTACCTTTGGTTTACCCGTTTGATAAGCATGCTAGTTTGGTGTTTAAATGCTAGCGTGCGTGTTGTTTGTACCTTCTGATTGGTTGATGATAACTTGTGTTATTCATCGTTGTTGTTGTTGGACTGTGATCCATTCCTTGATTGAGTATGGTTTCATATCTTCGTTGTGATCCGTTGATTGATTCCTGTTGAGTTATGATGTGTGTGTGGCTTTACCTTGATTGCACGATTAGTGGTATGGGACACTAGTCACCAAGGTATTGCAGCGGTCCTCGTGGTGGCCGTGACGTGATTATAGAGTTTGTGGCCTTTGTGTAAGGTTCACGTGATTATTTCTGGGATAACATGTGTTATCCAGGGCATGTGTTGCCATGTGAGTGTACGGTACCCTCGTGTACTATGAAATTGGTGGTCTCGTTGGTGGGGGACGACAGTCCCAGGAGGGATAAGGTTGGACTAAGAAGTACAAGGGTCCTGGAGGTAATGGTTGGAAGAAGAAATAAGGTTGGGGGTAGCCATAAGGTTGGAACCGGGCATAAGGAAGACATATCAACTCGTGATGGGTGATGTCACGAGGGCTTGTGTAGCCATTGTTGTGAGTTCTTCTCTTGTGACGTGTGTAGTCACAAAGGCAAGTGTTGCCTTGGCAGGTGTTGCCGTGGGTGAGTCTTATTCCTTTGCGTTGTGCATGTCGGGTTTTGATCTATTGTGTGATGATAGATCATACCTTGAGACTTCTTGTGATTCGTGTTGTTCTTTGTGGTCTTGGGATGTGTTCCCGTGTTCTTGATTGAGAGTGTTGAGTCTTGTGTTGACTATTACTCTTGGTTTTGTACTTATATATATATGTATTCCGTTTCGAAATGATTTTGTATATATATCATATCTATGTATGATACTTAACAGGTATTGGTGGGTTACCAACATTATTCGTTGACCGGGCGTCGTCCCATTTCTATTTGTTGCTTTACAGGTTGGGTAGCCTTGGAGAGCGCGCTAGTTGCCTGTAGATAGTGTTATCTCTTCCTTTAATAGTTGTTGAGGCCTGTGAGCCTAAGTAGTTAATTTGTTAGACTGTTGTAGTTGTAGTATCTGCCTGTGCACCTATGTTTGATATAGGTGTGGCATAGCATCTCCCGGATTTATGTAGATAGCTTCTGTTGTTCTTATGTTGATGTTTAGACTGTTAATCCCTTTAAATTAAGTTTTAAAAGTTGTTGAAATTCGGGGGTGTTACAGTTTATGTATTTTGAAAACCTATATCTAAATTCTTTTAAAAAACTTGCATATGGATTCCCATCATGGAAAAGAGAAGTTGCATGAGATATATATGCTATCTATATGAAGTGAGGAAAACTATGTTTTGGAGGCTCCCAGACTATGCCATTTCAGGTGAAAAAGAAAAAGAGAAAGTTATGAGAAAGGAAAAGATACAGTCAGAGAATGTCGAATGATGTATTTAAGTAACTTGGTTGATATTCCCATGTTGCTATGTTGGATACTACCCGCTGGCCTTGGAATCCAGGCTATGGGATGTGCACACTGAAATTACGATACTTGATTCCACCGAGATTTAGAACCACGAGTACCAGTTCTATGGGCGAGATGAGATGAGATTAGGTCGGTCAATATTTTCTAGCCAGGATAGGTCCGTTCACGATTCATAAAGTTCCTACTTCCCCACGAGTTGAGGTTCTGTTGGTACATCTGTGGCGGTTTTGTGGGAAGCATCGTTCGCTAGAGCTTCGCCGCGGCGAAGTACCTCGCATACCCAGATTTAAAAGAAAAAAATGAAAAGAAAATCATGAGATATGATGGGACATGATGAGATAGGATGTTATATGATCAAGGTTGTAAAACTCGGCGCCTAGGCGCTAGGCGGCCCATAAATTTGCTGTTTTGGCCTAAAGGCGGCCAAAACGCGCCAGGCCGCCTAGGTGGCGGCCTACTCGGCCGAGTTTGGCCCAGTCGGCCGAGTTAATTGATTTTTTTTTTTAAATTGGGTTTTTCGCTCAAAACGACATCGTTTTAAGCGAAAAACCCAATTAAAAAATTGAATTTTAATTTCATTTCTAACTCTAATTCCTAACCCTAACTTCTAATTTCGAATTCTAATTTTAATCGAGAGAAACTGCGAGACAGGAGACTGCGATAGCGGAGAGCCGAGACTCCATCGAACCAGCCGCCGTCAAAGCTCCAGCAGTTGTCGCCGTCGAAGCTCCAGCAGTTGTCACTGTCGAAGCTCCGGCTTCAGCCGTCCGTCACCGTCAGTCACCGTCGTCTACTCGTCTGTAAGATTGTAAGTTCACAAATTTGAGTTTGTTTTTATGCCACTTATTTAATTCTTTTTTGACATTCTTTTCTATTCTTATGAGTTATGACTTATCCTATCATTCCTACGAATCATTATCTCATTGAATCTATGATTCCTATCACAAAGAAGCAGATTTACTGTCATTTAGAAGCAAATTCCTTTTGTATTCTTATGAATTTTGCATTTTTGCTACTGTCATTTTTAGTGTATAAGACTATAAGTGTATTATTATTTCTTAAGAAGAAGTGTAATGAATTTGTGTGTGAATTCAAATTTGGGCATCGTTTTCCTTTCTTATAAAGAATGTTCACTTGATTCACACACAAGTGAATATATTTATGAGTTTGTTGAGCATGACATTGAACAAGTTGGAGTTGAAAATGTTGTTCAAGTTGTCATGGACAATGCCTCAAACAACTTGGGAGCTTCAAAGTTGTTGAAAGAGAAGAGACAAACCATCTTTTGGACTTCTTGTGCCACCCACACGATAAATCTAATGCTTCAAAGCATTGGAAATCTCCCGAGGTACAAGAAAGTCCTTGATCAAGCGAAGGCATTAACGATCTTTATCTATTGGCAATGATGAGAACTTTCACAAAGAAGAGAGATATAGTGAGACCCGGTGTGACTAGATTTGCATCTTCATTCCTTACTTTGCAAAGTTTAGCCGAGAAGAAGATTGAAATAAGGGCAATGTTTTCTAGCAATGAATGGGAGACATGTAAATTTTCCAAGATAGCTAAAGGGGAGGTAGCACACACAACCGCAACAAGTTTGAGATTTTGGCAAGGTGTAACGGCATGTTTGAAGGTTTTTGCACCATTGGTGAGAGTACTTCGACTTGTTGATTGTGATAGCAAGCCATCAATGAGGTTTGTATATGGTGAGCTTATGAGAGAAAAAGAGGAAATCAAACATGCTTTGTCCGATGTCCCAAGGAACTATAAATCGATTATTGACATTATTGAAGAAAAGAAGAAAAAAAATGAAAGATAGGCTTGACTCTCCTCTTCATTTGATGGCATATTTGTTGAATCCTTATTACCATTATAAGGATCCACAACTTCATTTGGACGAAGTTGTAGGTGTTGGAGTTGTTGATTTTTGTGATATTCTATTTGTCAATGATTTTGACATGCAAAATAAGATTTTAAGTGAAGAATTGCCAAAATATAAGAAGAAGGAGGGGATGTTTGGAAGAAGCATCGCAATCAAAGCATGTGAGGTGAATGATGACAACTTTAATCCCGGTAAGTCATTCTTTATTCTTTAATACTTTATTGCTTAATTATATTTATTTATTTATATTTAAGTATTTATTAATTATTATGAACTTTTTTTTGTAGCAAATTGGTGGTCAACTTTTGGTACCTCAGCCCCTTTATTGAGAAGAATAGCCATAAAGATTCTTTCTTTAACATCTAGTTCTTCGGGGTGTGAAAGAAATTGGAGCACATTTGAAGGGGTTAGTAACTTAATATTATATTTTAATATTTTATTTAGTTTGTTATCAACTTGATGTTAATATAAATATGAATTATGATAGTTAATACTTTATCAATCATTATTTAAACTTTTGAATATTTTTATTACTTGAATTGTAGATACATACAAAGAAGAGAAATATGCTTGAATCAAATCATCTCAACAATTTAGCTTTTGTCCAATTTAATGCTACTTCGATGAACAAGAACAAGCAAGATAAAAATATTGAAAAGTTGGTTGGTAGTGATGCAAGTTTAATACAAGATTGGATTGTGGAAAATCTTGAGACTGAGCCGGGATTGGATTGCAACAATAATGCTATGGAAGTGGATGAAGCATTACAACCCCGTAGAAGTGCTAGATTGAGGGATCTTGATGAAGATAACTTTGAATCGGAAGGTGAAAGTGAAGAGGAAATAATGAAGTAGTGGAGTTTGAAGATGATGGGCAACGTGTTGTTGAGCAATATGGACAAGATGAAGAAATTGGCAATATAATGATCCTATTCAATCATGATTCATGAATCACTTTGGATTTCAAAACTTTAAAATTTGGACTTGAATGTTGAATTTTTGTTGAATGTTAATTATGTTGTAAGTTTGTAACTTGTAAGTTTAAACTTTAAACAATGATACTTGGATGTTGTTTCACTTGTTTCATTAGTTGGATGATTAAATGTGGTATTGTTGTTTGAGTAATTGAGTGTTTGACTTGTTTAGTTGTTTGAAGGGATGTATAATAGATTGATAGTTTTATTATTTGGACGTGCTATTTGATTGAATGTTTAAAACAGCTTCATTAAATTTGTCAAACTGCAAGTCTGCTACTGTTCTTTAATTTTTTTTTTAGAGCCCGCCTAGCACCGCCTAGATTCTGCCTAGGTGCTAGGCGCTGCCCGGCTGTCCGACTAGCGCCTAGCGCCTACTGCAATCTTGATACTAGTATATCTATATCTATGGAATTCCATTATTGCATAGCATATGCCTTATGAGAGTACATGATAAGTAAAGTATGTTTTATTGCTTGTGAGTACTAGCATGATAGTATGGTATTGCTTGACACTCATATCTTTTGCATATTGTCTATCTTGGAAGTATGTTATTCTCATATATGTTGATGAGTATACATGCTTATATATTGTATCCTTACTTAGGATTTATTGTTGATTGTTTAGTTGACTATGCTCATACTTGTTCTATGGGAATATCAACCGTTTTTCAAAACCTATATCTATATTTATGTTACAGGGTTGAGTGGCTTTATACTTAACATTTTTATGCTAACGGGTTTATTTTCCTATGTGTTTTTATAACCCCTTTTAGGTGGACTTGATGCATGATGAGAGCGCGCATTTATAGTAGTAGTGTGTAGCTCTAGGGCTTAGTAGATGTTAGTCTTAAATTGTGCTTTCTCTCTCAAAGATTTAACCGTTAAGTTGTGTAAAGACCTTCAGAGTATGATTTGAAAGCAACGGACCATGTTCGAGTGGTTGCCGAGATTCGATTGTTTAATGTGAAGATCTTGCCCTCCATGCTTGGAGAATTCAATGGTGAATCGTCGAAAGACGCAATCCTTATTCTCCGATCCAGGGTGATCTACCTTAAGAGTTCTTTTAGTGTCAGTTTTTAGTTGGTTAGCTCGTGCCTTAGCTAGGACTGCTAGATTAGGAAGATCTGTGATTAGTAATAGAAAGGGGGTTAAAGTTAGGTTATGTTTCGAATTCCTTCCGATAAGCCTTTTATCTTTCATCTTACCCGATACTTGTTTGTTACTAACTAAATGCAGGAAAATTGCAGCTTAAATTTTGCTTTAGATATTTATAGTTAAGTTGGCTTCTTAAATTGTGCTTTGCTTAAATTTGATGAACTTGTAATGTTACAGAAATTTTACAAGTGGGATGAGTCCATTGACACACAAGTTCACGAAGCCTTTTTATTGCAAGCAAGCTGATGCTATGCAGATATGATCTCCAAATTTAAGAAAAAACGGACATCAACTGGGAGGCCTGCTTGTGTAGCTGAAGAAACATGGCGTATTTGGGAGGCGTATTGGGATGGGCCAGACGTGAAAGCTAAATCTTATCAAACCCGCAAAAATAGAATGAGTGAGGTGGAAAGACCCGGTACATGATGTTCTTGACATACCGGAGGATCTAAATCAGCTATTGAGCACTATCACAAGCTGGTAGTACATTTAACTTACAAATTTATCTTACGAATTTAACTTACAAATTTATTATTTGTATATATTTTACAAGTTAAGTATCATTTTATTGTTTGTGCTTGTTTAATAGCGAGATGATCTTCAAAAGAAGCATAATCTGTTTGAGTGCTTCGCGCGAATACACAAAAAGAAGAATGGTATGTTCGTTGATGAGAGGTCAAAGAGAATCGCTATAATTACAACGTAACAATCATATATTGTTAAATAGATAAAAAATTTATATGCCTTTGTATAATTCTTTTTTTTTTTTTTTATGTTTTTAATTGTAGGACAAAATAGAAGCACGACATGTAGCTACAATGCAAGAAGCCGAAGGGTCAACTGAGTCACCAAGTATAAACATGTCACAGCTATATGTAGATGTCGTTGGCGGGGTAAAAAAAATAGCGTATTTATGGCTTAGGGACTAAGGCATCTTCATTTATCAACAACAATAGTTGTGGTTCATCTGATTCTTCACAACGTCATCAAGATGCAGTGAAGGAGATGGTCAATCAACAGATGGAGATCGTGTGAGCTGAGATGGAGGCTAAACTACAAGCTGAAAGAAATCAAATGTAGGCCTAGATTGCAAGTTTGATGGATGAGTTGCGTCGCAATGAGATGTATTCCACTTCTGATCTATGCCACCACCTCCAACAACTCAAGTTGAACATTTTGCTAATTCAAATGATGAAAATTTAGGAGATGATTATGTTATGTTTATTAATATGTTTGGTATTGTTGCAACCGATATAACATTATATAGTGGTTTACTTTTGTTATTGTTATGGAGTATGATTGTTTAAATATAATATATTTTACAATTATATTATTGATATAAATTTAATGCAGGTATGGTATGCGATATTAATTAGTGGCAATATTTTTTTTAAAATTTTTATAATTTAGCAACGGAAAAATATTATAGTAAATCTGTAGCTAAATATTTAATATAAAATACCAAATGGTAACAAAATAGTTACGGAACAATTCCATCATTAAATTTAGCGACGGATATTGTCGGCACTAAACCGTAACTAAATGACATAAAATTCAAGTAATTAAAACAACCTAGCGACGACAAATATCCGTCGCTAGTCCGTTGTAATGTTCGTCACCAGATCGTCGTGGTATGAATCTAGCAACGGATATTTTGTTGTCGTAGCGACAGATATTCCGTCGCTAGAGTTAGCGACAGAAATGTCTGTCATTATTCCGTTGCAATTTTTGACGTCGAAATCGTCACCGTGAACAATATAGCGACGAATTTTTTTTGTTTCGCGACGGAAATAAACAAAAATAAATTGCATTGCTAAATTCTAGGGACGCCAATTCTAGCGACGGACTAAGAAGGATTTCACCTGTTTAACGACGAAAATGGTTCGTCGCTATTTTGGGTTTTTTTTTTTTTTTTTTTTTTTTTTTTTTGTAGTGATTCCTTTCTTTTTGTGATTGATGTTAGATACTGATGTAGCTAGACTACCTTCTTTTGGTTGGTGCATAGACATCAAGGTTCGCATACCCTTTACTGTTGATGTATTGAGCTGTGACTCTAGTATGTTAGTAACTTTAGCCTATGCAGTTACTCGAGGGTGGGTAACTATGGTGATGACACTCTCTTTAGTTTGTTGATTTGGGATTTATATATATCATAGTTTATCGTTATTTCCTTGTTTTTGTCTTTTTAGACAACTTAAAACTAGGCTCTAAATTTTTATTTTTTTTAAAAAAAAAGGAGTGTTACACCCTGGCCCAAGCGGCGTATTATACAAGTTTGCTGGTCCATTAGACGTATTAGCAAAATATTAACAAGGAAGATCACGAGTATTAAACTTGTATTATCCAAGGAAGCTCAATAAATAAAGACACTTTATTAGATCTTATCTTATTGTACTAGTTGTAATAACTCAAATCTTACACGAGAGAGCCTTTATACTATCAATTCAATAAACTTAAAAAGAGCTCTTGTATAAATAGTGAGGCAAATCCTCTTCCCAAACCAATGTGAGACAAAAGTTCACTTTTTCCCTTCATTTTTCCAACTCAATTGGTTTACTTTGATAATCAATATCGCATTCACCCATTATCCGTTTTGAGCGTACAATATATCAATCTCTTCATCTCACTACGAAGAATCCGAATCCACTTTGGCCCGACACAAATCGGAAGTGGACCCCACTGATAATTGTACCACAAAATAGCCACTTAACATGTCATTTTATGCTATTTTAAGCATTTTTTTTCCAACAAAACTAATAATTTAGTCCTTTAACTATGCTTTTTTAGTAGATTTGGTCATTTCGGCCAAATCACGCTGGAAATTAACCGAAAAAAACTTAAACCTTTTTAAATTTTTTATTCATGAGAGCAAAATAGTCTTTTTACGTAAGCTGCTTCTTCTTCTTCGCGTTCATGAGCTACGGCTAACAGTTGCCTCTACTTCCAAGAAATAACAGCTCCAAGAATCGAAACCCCAAGTTCAGAAGCAAGGTATAATTTTTATCCCCGGCTTTTTCTTCATGTCTACTGCGCATTTCTTGATTCATCTTCCCCAGATCGCACGGTACAAAGCTCTATCAGAGATCTAAACTCCCAGAAATATTCTTCTCCCTATTCTACCCACAACCATCCTCCCAATTCCATCCACGACCAAAACATAATTATAGTATTGGTTGTGGTCCTGTGGATGATGGTTTATTTATAGTGTTAAAGTAGGTGTAGATGTTCATGTAAATATTGATTCTAAATTTTAAATTTATCTCCAATAAATTAATGTTAGAAACATAACATAATTATTGCAATGTTAATTCTCAATTATGGATCAACAATTATTACTCAAATTAATTTTTTGAATTACTCTCATATCCACTAAAATCTTTTTGCTTATTATTTACATTGATTTTCTTTTCATCTTTATTTAATTATTATTTATGATGTTTATGATTAGAAAATTTTTTCCCTAAATCATTTTGCTTTAATATATATAGAGATAGAGATTTTTCCCTACTCATTTTGGTTCAATATAGATAGAGATAGAGATAGAGATAGATATATAGATATAATATAGGGAAAATAGCACTTTTTCCCCTGAGTTATATACTTATAGCACTTTTCCCCCCTGAATTATTTAAGTGGCTATTTTCCCCCCTAAAATGTTAAATGGACATATTTACCCTTAAAATAAATATTTCATTTATTTTTCTTCTCCAACAAATTATTACTATAATTTGGTTCAAACCAAACAGATACTATAACAACCAAACCAAAATATTCCAATTACAATTTAGAATCAAAACGCGATATTTAGAGTTTATTAAAATCGCAAATCGGAATTGCCGGTTCATGTTCCGAACTGAAAAAATAAAATACATTTATTGTTGAATTTAGACTATTTTAAAATAAAAAATAAAATAAAATTTTAAAATAAAGATGATTCAAAATCGCGAACCGGATCCGGAACCGCCGGTTCACGGTTCATGATCCAGTTTTTTTGGTTCATAAATTTAATAAATTGAAATCTAAATATTGGATTCTAGATCTGAATCATAACCGAAAACTTTTAATTCGATTGCTATAGTGTCCGGTTCCGTTTGAACCGAACCGTGGTCATTGCTACATATACACAATAATTTGTTGGAGAAGTAAAATAAATAAAATGTTTACTTTAAGGGTAGAAATGTCAGTTTAATATATCAGGGGGAAAAACCACCACTTTTAAAATAATTGAGGGGGCTAATGTGCTTACATAAATAATTGAGGGGGAAAACGTGCTATAAGTATATAACTTAGGGGGAAAAAGTGTCATTTTCCCTATAATATATAATATATAATATATGCAATATTTTATAAATTAATGATATAGACATGTTATGTTAACTAATTTAACAATTATGTTGATGTTGATTTGATATGTAATCTCTATATATAGAACTAGTTTTTTACGCGCATTGCGCGATTGGGATAATGCCCAATGTTTTTCTTAAATAAGTATTTTAAAGTATATCGAAACAAGATTATATATTAGAATTGTTCATGAAATTGAATGTTGAATTTGCGTATTTAAATTGGTAATTCTAAGTTTAATTACAAATGCAAGATAATATAGTCAAGATTGATTATAATTGTCAATAAAATAATTGTATGGGTATGGTTAAAACCAAATATGGTACATAGGGAGAGCAAATAAAAATTAAAGCATAAAATATAAATATTTACTAATATTGTTTGATGAGATTCCGGATTTGTGGTAAGAGTTCTATTAAGACTTTAATATTAGAACTAGATTAATGTTGTAGTTATAATTATATATTAGACTTTAATATTAGAATTAGACTAACAGTACTTAATGAAAAAGTTAACAGATCGGATAATCATATAATTAAGGATAAATTAAGAAATCTCAATAAAAAATAATTAAAATCTGAACAATCTGAACTATTCATTTGATTTAATAATTTGACGATCATTTTTTCTACCCAATGTTTATAATTAAATAAATATTTGAAAGTATATAAATACAATATTATATATGAGAAGTTCAACATAAGTAATTTAATGTCTAATTTATTTATTTAAATATGTAATTCATAGTATATGAATACAATGTAATATAGGAGATTCATTATAATTGTTACTAAACTTTTTTTAAATAGTAACCAAGTATTTTTGTTGCAAAGGGTTCTAATATATTTAATGAATGTACATATATACAAGATCAATGAATGAATCAATGGTACCAATCCTTTAAGTGTTTTGCTCAGTGTTCATTTAGTTCAACCATTATTGTTGAATAAATTATTATGGTTAAAGAAATTCCTAATTTAAGGAATTTAGATGTAGTGAAAATTTAAATTTTTTAATTATAATGTAACCCAAAGATATTGGACGATTGGTAAATATGATGTAACGCAAAGATCAAAATGCTAAAGAAAGTGTTTTGTTCAGCCGTTTTTACCAATCGTTGATATAATTCGCTGGTCAAATCCGCTAACGCTAACCGCTAACTGTTGATTATCAAACACGGATATTGCGAGGTAGTTTCTCACTTCAATTTGTTGTGTGATTTGAACTCTCTTTGTCACTTAATTCACTAAAAATAGAAAAATAAACGAAATACACTGATTAATACTAATAATAATCAAAAATATAAAAGGATTATCAATCTATACTATTATTAAAAAACAAAAACCTCCTTCCTTACTTTCCCGCCCAAACAATATAAAAAGAAAAAAAATCTATACTATAATTAAAAACAAAATTCTATTTACTTGATTTCCTGTCCAAACAATAGTATAGATTGATGGGGTTTTGAATTCTATTAATATCAAAGTAGTTAATATAATTGATTTTATTAATTTAAAATTTTTAAATTTTTTATGATATTAATAAAATACTTGGTAAATAAATATATATCGTTATTTTGTATTATAACTTTGATATTTAATTAAAAAATAATGCACCAAAAAGATAATAGACAATGTAGTGAATATAATCAATTGATGAATTTGAATGTAAAGAATTTTTACTAGGGATGGCAACGGGGCGGGGCGGGGCGGGAAGTATACTCCCTGTCCCCGTTCCCGAATCCCCAACCTCATCCCCGTCCCCGTCCCTATCCCCGGCGAAAAATTGAAAATAATCCCCATCCCCATCCCCGCGGAGAATTAGGCAGGAATGGGAATTCCCCATCCCCGTTAACTATTAATTAAAATTTTAAATTTTAAAAATAAAACGTAAGTTTATATATATATATATATATATATATATATATATATATATATATATATATATATATTTATTTATTTATTTATTTATTTATTTATTTAATTATAAAAATTAATCGGGGACGGGGCGGGGAGGGGTATCCCTGTCCCCGTCCCCGACGGGGAATTGTTTACATTCCCCGTCCCCGACGGGGAATTGTTTACATTCCCCGTCCCCGACGGGGAATTGTTTACATTCCCCGTCCCCGTCCTCATTCCCTGAAAATTTTCTTTATCCCCGTCTCCATCGGGGCAGGGATTGGGGATCCCCGTATGGGGACGGGGCACATTGCCATCCCTAATTTTTACATTGCAGAAAAATAAAGACAATATAACTAATGAAATTATTTCTCTTAATCAATTTATTGATAATGAATAATTTTTTTTAATAAAGACATTGTAGGGACAATGTAGAGAATATAATCAATTGATGAATTTGAATTTTGAATGTAAAGAATTTTTATATTGGAGAAAAATAATGACAATATACCTAATGAAATTATTTCTCTTATTTAATTTATTGATAATGAATAATTTTTTTTTGAATAAAGGCATTGTAGACACATAATTCTAAATTAAAGAAATGCATATGTATTATTTTTTGTTGTAGCTACAAAATTATTATTTAATTTAATAAGAGTAAAATAGAGTACTAATTATGTCAACTTTGATTGAGATGTGGTTCGAATCTAAGACCTTTTTTTTTTTTTTTTTTATTGAAATCAATGAGTAAGTTAACGGTGAACTAACAGAAATTAACGGAAAAGATAATATTTAACGAAAAAGTTAACGATAATCATATTCATTAAGGATAAATTAGGAAATCTCAATGAAAATTTAAAATCTAATCAATCTTGAGTCATTCATTTGATTAAAAAATTTGACCGCCATTTTTCCTACCCGTTATAGGTCTAACTCTCTTGGGGTCTTATTAGTATAGTAGATATAGATAGATAGATATAGATATAGATATAGATATAGATAGATATATAGATATAGATATTTGTAATTAAAATAAGAAGGGAAAATAATTGTAAAAATTGCCCCTCTATAATATGTCAATTATCAATGTCACCCCTGAATTACGAGTGGTGTAAATGTTGCCCCTCAATTATCAAAACAGTGCACATATAGCACCCCCCCCCCCCCCCCCCGTAACGGACATGTGGTTCCCCGTTAGTGTACGACACCATTAAGTCAGAGTAAATATGTAATTTAATTGTTTTTCCCTCCCTCGATTCGAAGTACCAGCGATGGACAACGGTGGAGAACCATAGGTCCGTTACGGGAGGGGTTATATGTGCACCATTTTAATAATTGAGGGGCAACATTTACACCACTCATAATTCAAGAGTGACATTGATAATTGACGTATTATAGATGGACATTTTTTGCAATTTTCCCAAATAAGAATTGATATATAATAAAAATTAATTAATGTGATGTGAATACAATAAATGCTTTCACACTTTGGAGGAAAAAAAATTTGGTCATCATTTTGCTTTAATATATATAGAGATAGAGATAGCCATTGTGAACTTCTAAAATACAAATTGTGTTTTTAAGTTTTGAAAATTTGTGAATACAATACATGGTCATCACAAATTGTCAAATTTTAAAATTTAGTATGTAAATTATGTATCTTTAGATTTGGGTTCATCTTGCATGGCAGACTAGGTTGACAGAATAATTTGCCTTTAAATTGAAACCCACCAAGATTACAAAGTAAATAATAATATGCATCTCCGCCTTTCGAATCCAATCAAAAGCATGAAACTCTTTGTGCACCCAATTAATTCTTAGGTGTTGACTCAAAGACCTTGTCAAAGTTATGTGCAAAAAGGATTCCAATTCTATGAAGGAATACTGTCCTAAAAGGAATAGATATTGAAGAATACTAGTTTTAAGAGGAATTGTTATTGAAGATCTTCTAGTTCTTGTTTGATTAGGAATAGCATTATTATTCACAAATCTGTTAGAAGTAGCTACTATAAATAGGGGTTGTCTTTTATCACATAAATCAAACATTCAACATTAATCTTGTGAGGCACGGGAGTTTTTGGGAATAGAATACTAAATTCCCCTCGAAAGTAGTACATGTATTTAGGTTTCAATAGTTTGGTAGGAAAGATCATTCTATTGTATAATGTCAAGTTCAAAACAGTGTATCTTAAATATTAAATTTTTAGTGGATTTAGGCAAGTTCTCAAATTGAAAAGTGCCTCGCAGATTAGGGTCGTTTGCCCGAACTGCGTTACAGATAGTTTGTGTTACAACGTCAGTTTCAACATCACTGTGTGCTGGGCTTATATATATTTCAATACGCTTGGCTGAGCGTAGTTATAGACGAGATGACGACTGCAGCTAGACCTACATGGGCACCTGCTAAGGGCGGTAGCGAACAGGGCGGGACTCGGATTTTCGGCCCATCTCAGAAATACTCTTCTAGAGATATTGCATCGCATACAACCTTGAAGCCCAGAAGGGAAGGCCAAGACACTCAGGATGAGTTGCAGAAGAGGAACCTCCGTAAGGAACTGGAACAGCGTGAATCAAGGCACTTCTCTTCAAAAAATAATGGTTATAGTGATGACAGGGATCATAGAAAGAGTAGCCAACTCCTTTTAGAAGGTTCTAAAAGAGAGATTGAAGATCGAATTGTTCCACCTGGTGCCAAAAGTGATGATGAGAGTGAGGATGATGATAATGAGGATGACATGGAAGCTCTCATGGCTGAGCTTGATCAAATAAGGAAAGAAAGAGCAGAGGAGAAAAGGCAAGAACAAGAAGTAGAGCTCAAAGCAAAGGAAGGAGTACTCTTGAGAGGAAATCCGCTGTTAAACCAGCCAACATCCTTTAATGTGAAGAGAAGGTGGGATGATGATGTGGTTTTCAAGAACCAGGCTAGAGGAGAAGCAAAAGTTGCCAAGCGTTTTATCAATGACACCATTCGAAATGACTTCCATAGGAAATTTCTGCATAAATATATGAAGTGACGAGCCTGTACCATTAACTAGTGAGAAATGAATGGGATGAATTGACCTTGTGGGCAGACTATTTTACAATTCCTTGTCTAATATTGCTGTGTGGTAAAAGATTAATGTGGTGTTGGGTATTCTATAATTATAGAGCTTCATTATGTTGGTCATCAACCTTGAAAACATTATCACAAGTGTAGTGGTGATTTGAAACAGGCTATTTATTGTCGGTTTGCTTAATAATAATAATAATAATAATAATAATAATAATAATAATAATAATAATAATAATAATAATAATAATAATAATAATAATAATAACCCATCTATTTATCCGGATCCGGTTCGCGATTTTGAACCGTCTTTATTTTAAAATTTTAAGAGGAGGTTTGTATTTTAAGGGGGTTTGTATTTGAATGCAACCCTCTATATATATATATATATATATATATATATATATATATATATATATATATATATATATTGTGTAGAAATAATAGGAAGATTTGTTTAGGACTCCTAGCTTCTAGCCTATCTCCCGTTGTGTTGGGTGAAGAGTAAAGGGAACAGAAGGGCAGGAAGGGTTGAGAATCCAGTGACCTGATACATCTATACAAGGTATGAGTTAAGCTAACATTGTTTGATAATTTTTTTTAAAAGTAATATCTGAAGGGGTATGTTGTTTAGAAGTTGATGAGAGGCTGTAGAAATTTGAATTTAATGATGATTGCTTTGAAGATGAATTTTGCTTTCAATATAATGTTTGTTCATATTATTTGCTTTATTAAATTCATGAGAATAATAAATACAAATATTAAGTTATCCACATTTTTTATGGTTTAAAAGATATTAGAATATATTAACATAAGAGTATAATAAAGAAGCTTCACCTAGCAATAATTCTGAAAATTTTAAACAATGGGATAAAGCTATTAATAATAAGAATAAGTTAATACAAGAAAAAATAGATTAGTATCAAATAGGTAATAGGTAATTACCATAAAGCTAAATATATAACATTGGGAAGATATGATAAATGTAAACAAACAATAAATAATCTAAACAAAATAGATAAAAAGATAATAGAACTTGAGAAAAGAGCATTAGGAAAAAGAAGTGAAATATTTACAAGTCTTACAGAAAAATTTAAAAATTTAGAACACCCCGATTAAAATCATGAGTAGTAAGGATAATTTTAGAGCTGTAAAAATTATTAAACCACTTGATAGAGCAATAAAAGTAAACAAAGAAGCCTTAGTAGAAATGACAAGGACATATAAAATTCTTAAAGAAATATATAGTAATTTTCAAGAGAAATATCATAACATTTTAATTAGTCATCATTTAGTTATTGATTTTAAATTAATAGTATAGAGTATGAAATAAAATGTGATAATGGAATTGGTTTTACGTTTCAAAACGTAAACATTTGTTATTCATTATGTAGAGAGATTTTTTTTTTTTTCTGTAAACTTCAAACTTAATGCTTTTCACTGCTATTTTCCTAGAGATTAATTCCATCTTGCATCTATTAAAAACACGAAATTTATTAACTAGTTTGGGTTGTTGACTAGTTGAACTGTATTGCATTTGAGTAGATTGGATGTCCTAGTTTGTAAGATATAGGGTCTTAATTTGAGTAAGGATAGGATTAAACATTATTTGATTTCCAAGATTGCAAAAGCACACTTTAAGGGAAGGGAATTCATAATTTTTATTTTAAAAAAAAAAACATAATCATAGGACTAATAAATCACACCAACGAAATCTCAAATCATAGTTCAAGAATGTGATTTTTATAATGTATAGAAAAAGTATCATAGATCTTACTTCCCTATCGCATAGCTCCACGCACAAGGCTTTGTGTGCAAATTAAATAGAGAGGAAATTAAGTAAACAATATACAATTATTTCATTGTTACACTGAATGTAGACTCTCACCATAAACTCGAGCATATATTATATCGTTCATAAAACTATTGAGTTTCCATTCTTCAGTTATATCAGTATTTTTCTCGTTGTAAACTTGAACATACCCAACAACTTGATCTGAAGCAATAGTAATACTTTTCATTTCTTTACTTATAAAGAACATCTTCCTTTCTTGAGTAACCAAATCAATAGATATGAAGTATGGCACATCCATTTCAGCAGACGGGTCCCGAACAATTGTAGATTCTAGAAATACAAGCAGTTCACTGTCCACATTCCAAATTCCTATTGGTCTCCAATATTCATTATTATCTACGTTTACAACACAATCTACGATTGTTTGTTTACGCCAATAAGTGTTGTCATTTTCAATTATTAACCAAATCTCAATGCAACTAAAATCCTCCAGACTTGGATAACAAAGTAATGCAATAGTCTCATTAATTATTGTGGCTGAATCAATGGTAACATTATCTGATGGCACCTCAATCGTCCCAAAAAGTTCATCATCCATGTCAAACCAAAGAAAGTAGTGATTGTAAGTTCCATTATTATTGTCACCTTTTCCCCGCCAATAGTACCTCCCTTTTAAATAAAAATCATCTTGAATATCAATACAATTAAAAGATGTAACCGAATTAATCTGTCTCAAACTCCATGAATCACCACCAAGTTGGCTATAAACCATTTTAATTTGGTGCACAATATCTCTCCCATCATCACATAAAGAACAAATGTCTAACATCATGACAACCTTCCAAATCATGTTGTTAGAAATTCCAAATCCAAATTCGTTAATCACATACGTAGGGTAAGATAGTTTGTAAGGGACGGTAATTGGGCGTAAGGCTTTAATTTTTCTAATAGATGGGTTCCATATCAAAATATCATAAATAAGATCATCACCAGAATCAAGGTTCATCGGATCTTTCCTAGTCGAAATCAAGCATAACATACCTTGACAACACCTAACCCACTGTACTCTTGGCCTTACTGGTAAGTCTAGGTATATGCATTCAATCTCAGATTCTTTGTAAAGCAAATAATATTCTCTAATATCGTAACCAACCTCTAAAAGAACGCAATCCTTTTTTGCTTTGCTAATTCCATAGTGTTTGTGCAGGAAATGGCTATCACTTTTTATCAAATCATAGAAAAATTTACAAACACATATAAATCGCATAAGAGACTTTACCGGTAATCTCGCTAAAATATCAACCACTAGCTCTTGTGACAATTTGCAATTTTCCATTTTCCAGCCGAGATGGAGTTAGGTTGCAAAGATCGAACAATTCAGTAAATCTGCAGCAACTTCAACGGCAACCTCGTATTGGCGATCTGAGATCTGAGAACACAGGATAGGGATGAATTGAATATAATGCTTGGTGGATTTTAGACTTGTATTTGAGTGAGTACGTATGTATATATAACATTCCGTTAAGGCTTCAAAGGATTTAATTTGACACGCTTTAATTAGGCACTCTAAAAAAACAATAATTAATCCATTATACCAAGCCTTATCATCCATCTTATAATCCACTATAATAATCTACATTATATTCTTAATATACTAAAATTATATTACAATTTTTGATATCCTTGCTTCCTCTCGTCTCCGGTATTCTAAACGGCTGCCGCCTCCGTGAAGCAAGAGGATCAGAGGTGGCGTATGATCATCTTCCCTGTTACCATTTCCACCACAGACAGCATCCGCCTTCATTGTCTTCTTTGCTTTCACCGTTTTCTCCTCCATCTCCGCCGCTACGTAACGGTGTTGTTTCCCTTTGCTTTGTTTTACTGATTTATCTTTGTTTATAATTCTTTTTCATTGTTACTCTCATTTATTTGGCAAGTTCTTTTTCATAAACCTTCCGTGAAACGATAAAATTGGTCATGGCGTATGTGAATCTCATCATGGGTGACAAACATGACAATGAAAAAGAGATTCATTGAACTATGATATGCAATTAAGTCCGATGGAGATATTGTCAATGGATAGAAAAATGGAAATAGACACTCAGGTGGTGTGCAAGACTATTCAACCAATGTCAGTCTTTGGTACGTTTGGCAAAATAATTAATGAGTTTTAAGTTCCCCCACAGAATTCAACTTCAAATTTGTGAAACATTCTGCGAATCAGGTCACACCTGACTTCAGGTCACATATTCTATTCTCCTTCTCTCTCCCCTAGTCTGAGCAATAGTGAGGTTCGCCTACGTGATTGCTAGTGCAAGCTATCCGTAGTAGCTCTGTGTAGCCTGTCGAAAGCGTGTCAGGGTTCTAACTGCACAGTTACCGGGCAAATAACGCTTTTAAGGTAGTGTTATTATAACACGACACAGATTTTCTTTCAACCATACACCAGTAGTGTCCGTGCTTCTTAAAAGGCTTCCAGATCGCGCGTTGACGTTGCAACTATTTCCCAACAGTTAAAATCATTATTTTGCAACAGTCAACCTTTAGCATTATGACACCTTCTGTCATACTCGATCGATCAAAAATCACCGCGCTTGATGGAAAAAATTATAATAGATGGGCTCAAAGAATGTGTATCCTCTTTGAACAACTAAAGTTGGTTTATGTGTTGTATTCAGTTGCACCTAAACCTACTCCAATAGTGTTCTCTCCTTTTGGTGCTACAAAAGCTAACCATGAACCTGATTACACTCCGGGTGAAGAATCGAGAGAAAGCAGTCCTGAAATAGATTACATTCCGGGTCAAGAACCGGGTGTAACTCTGATGCAGTTTAGAAATGACAATGCGGCAGCCAAAGGATACATTCTGTCACAAATGAATGACGATTTGTTCGACATCTATGTCAAACAAGACTCGGCAAAAGTCATTTGGGAATCATTGTCAAAAGTGTACGGTGCCAATAATTGAAGCATGTGTTCCATCTCAACTAAAAGCCTAAGCTGATAGTTGGATTGCACATTAATGGCTATATGCTCAACACGCCCCCCCCCATGTGTGCGGTGGGTTCCAAGCAACACGTAGACCGGTAAATCGTAGTCACTTACAAGTGGCGCTGAGATTCGAACCCATGACCTTTGGTCTGGCTCTGATACCAAATTGAAGCATGTGTTCCATCTCAACTAAAAACCTAAGCTTATAGTTGGATTGCACATTAATGGCTATATGCTCAACACCAATGAAACTGAAAATCAAAGTGTCATAACCATCTACAACAAAAGGAGTAGAAAAGTCAAGAAGTTCAAAGGAAGGTGTTCTGCATGCAGAAAGCAAGGACACAGAGCATACCAGTGCTACTATCACAAGGGCAAAACTAACAAAAGTC